CTTATGCCATACGATTGTAAGGATTCTCAGGAGAACTGAATTATTTACTTTCTTGAATGAGAGTCAATTTAACTGTTGGTTTATATAATGCTTCGAATACACTTCTTTTATTATTGCTGCTGACTCTCTGCAACTCACAGCAGCCATCACAGTGATTGTGCATGGTTTGGAAAGCAGTGCCTCGTAGCCATAAAATATTTTCCCCATACTTCCATTGGAATGTGTTGTTTTCTTCTCTCAGTGTCGTGTTAAGTAGATGAAAATTAAAGTGTTGGAGCTCCTTTTATGATTGTTTCAGTTTTTTATCCATTTGTATCCATTTAAACTTTATATTGTAAAAGAAGTGAGTGTTTCGTTTTTACAGGTGGTGATGCTGGCAGTTTATACCCACATCTATACAACATTCATCCATCTCTTCTCACACAGCTGGGACCTAAACATTCACACCTTGGTGTTCATCTTCAGGATCAGCTTCAAGTAAGAATATAATATGAACCAAAGAACTACATAGAAGCATTAAAAACATTGTATAGTAGCAGATTCCAGATAGTGTTGGACCTAAGGTTTTTTTTTTTATTTTTTTATTTATTTTAGTGCTTTCTGTATTTTGGATCTTTATGCAGAGGAATTTTAATATAAACAGAATAAGTAATAAGAATTATATGTTCGAGTTATACTTTATCTACAATTCACAATTTGTTGTTTTATATTCCTGTTTCACTCTGATAAATCATTGATTTCACACATATTACTTCAAACTTCGTGTGCAAGTCTAAGCACTTGTGTTTCATTGCCGTAATTGAGGTGGAACACTTTTTAATGTAACACAATTCAGAATCTTAAGAAATGAAGTCCTAATCAGTAGTCAAGCAATAGAATACACAAATAAAACAAATAGATTGGTAAATGTCTTTACATTAAATAGAAGTGTCTTTTGGTGTGGCATCCTGTGTGTGTGCATAATGTACATATTACATGATTATATTCAGCATAATTTTGTTGTTGCAATCATTATCATTTCATTTTTTTCTATATGGCAGGGCAGATTGCAGCCATAGAATGAAACAGTGGTGCTAACTGTTTACACCAAAATATTCACACTTTCTTACTGTGACTAAGGAGCTGTTTATACTCTAACTTAACACATTGTGTTTTCCATGTGGTATGTTTAAAACCACAGGGATATAATCCAGGATTCTGGCTTTCTGAAATTGTAGATTTTGTCTTTTCACACACCTGCATCTCTGATCTTTTTCCTCTGTGGGTCTCATATATAAATATTAAGTTTTCTGTTTGGCCCCTCTTCTTGGTTGAAGAAATTGTTCGTATATTTCAAGATACACATTTTATGTTATACTGCCATAGACAGGGAGATGCACAGTGCTGTGTGTTAAATGATGCTGGTATAGTTATTCATGGCAAGTTCCATGAAATTAGATTTGAAAGTTTCTGCATTGTGATAGAATTAGATCCATTATAAACTTTTTTTCTGTTATGAAGGTTCAGAATTGCTGTGAGTCACAAGGATGTTGTGAGTTTGCAATTCTTTTGTTTTTATAAGCTCATGCTGGAAAATGTTATGTTACAGTTGACAACAGGTGCTGATACTAAACCAGCTCATGTACTTTCATCTCAGCTGACAAGTCCTGCAGTGTCAGCTGTAACTGATCTGCTGCCACTAGATGCTCTTCCACCACCATCAAGTCCTCCCAGTGTAACCACGGCTGCAGCTACTTACTCAAACCATCCCAAATCCACTACCAGCTCTGGAACATCACCATCTGCCCTTAAATCACCCACATCTGTGCCACAGCCACATAAACAACCTTCTCCTGGGATGGTGTCAGTTGCCACAAAGGAAAATATTCCAGTCTCTACAACCTCAATAGCAAAAATGGGAACTCCTTGTAGGGAACACAGTGGCAATGGAAAAATTCCCTTACAAAATCTGCAGAGTTCTGCTTCCACACAGACAAGCCCTAATAAAGCAAAGACTCACTTCCAACAACATGGAGTGGCTCAGCAAAAGTCACCTGGGGGGTTAGCCACCCAGTCTGCGGTACCACGACAGCAGCTCTCTCAGAACTCTGTGAAAAGGGGCCCTTCTATTGCTACCTCACAACAGCCATCAGAAAATGGTCATCATCATCATCCTGTGAGTTCTGTCCGACATTCCACGACACAGACTGCTAGCCAAGCAGGGCATTCACATGCCCATAGTCACCAGCCTCTGCCTGATGTGGTGAAGTCTGCTGCCACAAGTACGACACCACATCGAGCAACAGCTGGCTCTATGACATCTAAGGTTCCTGCTCATTCATGCCACAAGAGCCTCAAGAATGGAGGAAGTATTGAGCCAATCAAGCGGGTCGCGTGTACAGACTGTAAGTTCACATTTTATTGGATGCTGCATTCTGATAATGAAGTTTGGGTTTATAAGGTACTTCGTTAAAGGCATGGCTGGAGAACTTCTGTCATAAGATGTTTTTGTGGCCCGCATTTGGAGTAGTAAAATGTTCTTTAATATCAGTCTTGTGTTGTAAAATGCCATTGATTGAGAAGAGAACCTTTTGTAAGTATATTTTGCAGATGTCCTGCTGTGAAGCCCCTTTTGACTCTACATTAATATATTCAGATAAGTTAATAATTCAATTATTGGTTACTCATTAGTAAGTAGTGAGTAGTGAAGAAGATAAAATAAAAAGCAGTAAATAAGGAGGTTCTACGTAGAACTCATGAAGGTTACTTTCCTGTTACATTGATTTCTAGTCCTACAAATATTGTGTTATTAATTACATATTTATAATGCAATATTAAAATGGAGCTAGTGTGCTGGACCTATGCACTGATGTTCATTTGATGAAATTTGAGTTGAGTCAATTCTAGATATGTTACAGATTGCTGGTAGCAGTAATAGTAATTTTCTTCCAGGGAAAACTGATTACTAAAATACACATTTTTGTCAGTGTTAAACTTGTCAGACATAACCTCAACGTTTTGCACCATCACCATGCTTTTATTGTTATTATTTTATACTGAATTTTTAAGCATGTTTATAGTGTGAAGTATCTTCATATAAAATTTTAAATGCGTAAGTTCCATGGTAACTTATTTTTCAGAGTTGTTTCCATGTCATTTCAGGACCGTATATTAAATTCACTAGTGGTGCTCACACCTCACAAGTTTGTTTCCACCATGTCGTTATTACCAATTGTAGGAAATTAGAAAGTACTTTGTTTTGGTGACTTTCATTGCCATAACATTCTTACTATAATTAATAAAAATTGGTCATGTAGTTCAAAAGTTTGGTGATCCACACTCCCAGAAAGCATGGTAGTCTCAGAAGTTTACTGTTACCCCTTAAGGAAGGAATGTGTGCTAGAAAGATGGGAATATTGATGTTTGCTTTCAAATATTGAAAAATGGTCCTAAATATGAAGATGGCTATCTTCTGGGATGTTGCAGCATGTAGTCTGATGAAAGACTCTCAGGTTACAAGCCACCTGAAGCAGCTTGTAACCTGAGAGTCTTTCATCAACTTCAGTCACCGTGCAAGCTTCATTTTATACAGCTTGTAGTCTATTAGGTTGTTAGCCTTGGTTGCACCGTAAAAAGGAAGATGTTTCGAAACCTCAATCAAAGCCTCAGACAGACGGACCTAACAGAGGACCAAATGGAAGAGGAGAATTGAGGAGGCCATGGACCGGAGAGCCATAGTAGAAGAAGAAGAAGAAGAAGTCTGTTAGGTATTAAGAGTTGTTTCACCGGAGTGTACTGTATCTATCATCAGGATGATGGAGACAGAATGCCTTTCTGAGATATTGATCAATATTTACCAGTTTATACATATGCTGCATTGCAGAAGACAGCCATCTTCATACACACGGCTGTGTATACCTCAGAGTTCACCAAACTTAAGTATGTTGGTTTTATTTATAGACCCTGACAGTGAGGTGGTTGACCTGGAGGATTCGTCAAGTCAAGATGACACTTGCTCAGAACGTTCTAGTTCAACTACTACATCAACTCAACGGGATTCTCGTCACTGTGATTGCTGTTACTGTGAAGTATTTGGTCATGGCATGGTGAGAGCATTTTGTGTATAAATTAACTGGTGCTTTTATTAAATGCAGATATTTTGTTGATGCAGATTGAGGGAGAAACTCAACTTTATTGAACCTTCTATGAGCAGAACTAAGTGTTCTATAAAATACATTAAATTCTGTAACATCAATATCTATTGTAAGATATTCCACAGCTATAAAGAAGTGTAGGGTATTAATATCTCAGATACAAATTGAGTTTAAAATATAAAAGGTAATGTAGGTATTTTGCACGGTGATGATGCAGGGTATTTATGCATACATATGTTGCACCTTTTATTTAAAAAATTGTGTGACCTATGCAGTCAGTCTGTTCACATTCATGAAATTCCAGAAATATCTAATGTATCCTTTAACTTCACATGAATCTCGTTGCATAGCTAGTTTCTTTGCACACCTCTTCAGCGGGCATAAACAGTTGCAGGTATTGGTAGCATTTGCAAGGTATTTTAATTTGAATGTTGTTGGGATTTTAAAAAAAAATCCAAATTGTACTGCCTCTTAAAGCACAGTTTATTTGCAGAATAACCAAATTCATTATATTTTATGCTTACACAATGATTTCAGAACTGTGGGATGTTGATGCAGTCAAACATACTCCCATGTATTAAGTATGACATATAATGAGAAATCTGTTTCAACAAGCATTATTTATGCATAGTCACTGCCTTATTGTTAAGTGTGGGAATGGGTTTCAGTTGTGTGGAGAACACTGTATCATTACTTTTGATATGAAGAGCTCTTTTGATTGCTTTTGCAGTTGAATAAAAATACATCTGCCAGTGTGGTGTAGTCACTATTTCACAACTTTCACAAAACAAGTCTGATCATTTTTCCATATCACGTAAAATTGTGTGTAGAAATTTCTTTAGTCACTACTGCTGTTCAAAGTCAGGTGTGTCTGACAGACAGCTCAATACTGTCTCTGAGGGTCACTTTTGAATTGAACGTATCCAGTTATTAGCTGTTGGTTAATTTCAGCATAAGCAAAGACCACCTTATGAACCCATCCACATCTGTCCATCTGTCACATCTCAGGTACCCCCAGCAAGGCGATCCCTTAGAAACTAGGTCACAGTTCCCCCCCCCCTCTCTTTTTCCTCCCCCAGGCCTGTGCTGCATTAGGTGTATCCTTCTTTCAGGTTTTGTCCACAAGGCTTTCTCTGCCTGCCTTCTTAATTTCTGGGCCTTGCCCTTGTTGGTCTTGGACACCCTAGGTTTTTCACTATCCTGGGTTAGACCACATGAGCTTGCCACTCCCAGGGGCATACTCCCTTTTGGGGTATTCCCAGGCAATCCCTTCCAGGCTTTATTTTAACTGGGCTTGTTATCCCTGGGGCTTTGTCACCAGAGCTTTACCTCATGTGCTCCCTGGCTCTTGGCCCCCTGCACTTACTGTGTTAAGGGTTTGGTCCCCAGGCTTCCAGTATCCCAGGTTATCATATCAATTAGGAGACTATTACTGCCACCGTATGCAGGTGCCATGTTTCTAAGGTTTACATGAGTGTGTTTAAAGTATGAATTTCTGCACTTATTAAACTCACATTTGTGAATCAAATGTATGTAAATTGTTAAAATACACAGTCTCAACACTAGATTAATGATACTAAAATTTGTATATACAGTATTCTTTAATTAATATTCTGTTATTAATGGTAATATGAAACAAACTTAATTATCTCCTCTTTGATTTGGGGTTCGCCAATTTTTAACTTTTCTCGCATTTAATTGACTGTACTAGATTTCTGCTGTATCTCACAGGCTAATTACAAACTGACAAATTGTGAACTCACACACAGAGTATGATCATCTCATAAGCCTATTTTTTTGCCATGACTTGAATACCTTGTTCTCATGAAAATGTAGACCTGATTATTACATCTTCTGACTTCATTTAACATCACTCCAGTTTGTGCATTATTTTGTTGCTGTTATTTCATCTTAATGTGCAATTTTAACAAAAGCATAACGTAATGACAATATCATACAAAACACTAACAACCATATGTTCGTCTTATTGCAATTGCTGGGCTGATCATTTCTTCTGGCTCGCTTTAAACTTCTTCTTAAGAATTTCAGCACTGCATTTCATTTCATGACGTCTGACTGGAGATTTTTAAGTGACACATTACTTCCATTGTTTTGTTCTTCGTGTTATAATCAACTAAGCTTCATTTTAAATGTCCCATTTTGGGGTCTCGGATAGTAAACTGCGCGTGACTTTTCGATTTCACGTGTCTCCATTGTCCCAGAACTTGTCATCATATGTTGATCTTTATTCCATTGCTCTGCACTGATTATTTCCATATTCAACCACATTTAACTTTAGAATATTTTTTATATTCAGTACTAACCATTCGTACTTACTTGTGTTACTGCAGGCAATAAATATGCAGTTGAAGTTGGGACCAACAAAAAAGTGAAAGGGATTATTTCCAAAAACAAATGGCATCACAGGCATATGAATCATGAACTACGCCATTTGAAAAATGTATGTGATTTGAAGCAGAATGACGATTTGTAAGGTGACGGAAATTCAGATTAAATATTAGCCAAAAACTAAAGGTACCAAATTTCCTATCTTAATACAGGTGTGAAATACTGGTAAAGATTTGGTATAGCATTGATATCCAAATTCTAACAGTCTGTGAAACAGCAAAATAACGTATTTACCTCACTAACATTGGACGTTCCTGTACTGTGTGATGTCTGACTGAAATACTAGTCTGTAATGTACTTAATATTGTTATTGTTTGAAATTGTATAAAGACTTCTATCATCTGTTGACATTTCAAACTACCTTTTTGTTAACGTTTTATCCCCATAGAAATAACCAGTAGAATACAACACTCTTCTGCTGAAAAATCTCTTGAATATGTTTGCATTTTGCAACAACTTTTTTTTATTATTTTGCAATGAAAAATTTGTGTTAAATTTTGTAGTTGTGTGTGATTTTGAAAATAAGTAAGAAGCTCTTTGAAGAATTATGAAAGATTGTGGGAAATAGCAGTGGTAAAAATGTTGTTCAAGAAGATCTTCTGACCCATTAAACCCCGTTGGTAACTGTATGTTCCACCTGTTTAAAAAAAACTGTATATATTTATTTTGTTTTTATGGGTTTTGTCTAATTCTCGCTGTAAACAGCAATTGTATCATTAAACAATATTAACCATCTAATCTTTGTAATATTGAAGTGTAGTGTTCTTTTTGTGATATGGACTGAATTCTTATGTGTCATTCATATGAGCTTCAGTATCAAAAGGTTAATTTTAATATCATTATTAATTGGCCAACTTGCAATAAACTGTGATCATGATTGAAAGCGGATAGAGGAAAGTTCCATAACACTACTGTAGACCAGCACACGAGGGAAATCCAAAAGATATTGCTGGAAACATGGAGTTCAGGATTATGAAACTGCTTAGGATCAATGATGATAAACAGGTGAAAAGCATTCTCTTAGTTTTCTAATGTATGAAACGTGTGCCATAATAGAGTCATATCGGATGCAGGTCCCATTATGGCTGAAGTAATTGCTAATCCCGCTTTCCTAACCTCTTCATACCTTGTTTATGTTTAACTCAGACGCGTAATGTTAAATACTTATTTCATGTTTTTTATTTGGTACATAACACACAGGTAACTGGACTGTGACAAACATGAGCGTAATGGAGGACTCTGTTCTTCTTTTTTAAAATTAGCACCATCTGCCACATTCTGAAATTGGCAGTCGTTTTCTTCTTTTCAAATTGGCATTGAGTGAGTAATTTGGCAGATTAGTGTAAATTAAAGTATGTTGGGAGCATTTCTCAGTTTGCATAAGAAGTGTCAAAACTAAATTTTGTGTTTGGAAATTTACACAGGAATTTGTAGGTTGGTTCTCATCTTATAATATTAGCATTATGAAATCAGGCAGGATGAGCTTTATGGGACATGTAGCATGCATGAGAGAGATTGATGTGTACAGAAAACCTAAAGGAATGAGACTGCTTGGAGGGAGATCTGGGTGTCGGTGGGAAGTTAATATTAAGATGGATTTTAAGGAAATGCAGTACATGTAAGGGTGTGGATTGTATTCAACTTGGATTCTCATAAAGAATTGAGCTGCATGGAGTTAGGCATGGTTTATCTGCTTACCTTTCTTGTTTTTGTTGATTCTCCATTTTCCCGTCAGTCTGCATCAGATCCTCGCCGAGAAAGTTATATGAGACATTTGTTATGTACAGGTTGGTCAGAAATGCACCTATCAAGTTTATTGCTTTATTTCGTCTAAGAGATGAGGCAGTTTATTCAAATACCATTTATATCAGCATCTCAAGCTGTTTATATTATGATGTGTTCAGCATGTTTTTATCAAACATTTAGAATATTGGTTTTTGTCCTTTCTGTTAAAGACTCCATGTTTTGACAGTAATTGTCCAAAATTGATCTTGTCTTGTGAAATTTCTTGACTAGGTTTGAAATTGTGTGCTTGTCAAGTCCAGCTTTGACACCAAGCTTTACTTGAACACTCTTCTGACCTTTTCTGGGCTTTTAGATGACCGAATATACTCTTCAGTGATGAATATCGGCTGCTTGTTGCTGTCAAATTTGAACAAAAACAAATTGGTTGAGTACTACACTGTGTTGTCAAAGTTTCTTAAAACTGTAATCACTTGTTGCGGAAAAAATTGAGTTTAAAATTGGCAGGTACATTTTGGACCATCTTGCAAGTGTTCCTTGTGATTTATATTATCTATTTTTAGCTTAGAATTGTTTTATCACGATCCGTCATGAACGTGGTGAAATCTGACGTCGGATAAGTGACTGCAGTTGAGAAGAAGCTGTGCTGTTTCAATTGTCATTTCTAACAGCATGTAAATAGACTTCATTCATCAAAGTGTGCAGCTTTGTATGTTACTTTGTAGGATTTTTCTGAGATTTGATATGAGTGACTAAAATATAATTGCAGAAAGAACGCACGAGGGTTCTGAATGTACAGTTGAAGCATGAAGCTGCAGTATCACCTGCATCACATGCCAAGGTCTAGAATGGTGGAGCTTTACCTCCATATCCCATGTGATATTATGAATTGGCATTTTTTGGATGTAGGTCTTGTACCAGGCACGGAGAATTCTAGTGTGTTGTTATTTTCTTACAGCCGTCTGTTGCTCCGGTAAGTCGTAATTATCAAGAAATGAGAGAAAGACTAAGAATCCTCCTTACAAAGAAAAAAGCAAAGTGTAAAATAGGTGGTACTGGTGCCAGTGGTGCAAATGGGACAGGAAATGCTACGGTACCACAAGTTGGTACAGTGCCATCAACCGGGACAACAGAAACTGCAGTGAAAGCAAGTACAGGGTCTGCTGGTGGAGCCTCATCCACACCTTCTCCAGCAGTCTCAGGCCCAGTTCTTGCAAAGCAGGACTCAGTTGATTCGCTTCCACAGCCCATAAAGGACCCTAGAGACCTAGAAGCATTGCTGGACTTCATAGAGGGGAATCAGTCAAGTAAATGTAAAGATGCTAAGAAAGCTGCCAAGAAAGCAAGACAGAAACAGAAAAAGGTGATTACTTCTTTATTACCTTAATTTTATTGGAATTTGTGTTATTATACAGGCAGTGAATTTGTTAAGTGGCATGACTTATGAAGAGAACTTAATCCGAAAACAACTTTGTAGTGAAATTTGAGTATCGGAAATTTTACTGAATTATGGTTCTAACACCTTTAACATTTGGAAGTTGTTACTTTGATGTTTTTTGCATTTTTTAATTATTTTTTTTCTCTCTCCCCAGCTGGAGGAGAAGGAGAAGAAAGATCAGGAAGAGGCAGAGAGACAAAGACTTGAAGAGCTTCAAAATAAGACACCAGAAGTTACAAATACTGTAGTAAATACTCCTGGTTCACATGGTGTCAATTCTAACCTCAAATCTAACACATCTTCAAGTATCTCTGGAAAAGGAAATAAGAATTTAAAGAAACAAGATTCAGGGCTAGTAGAGCAGGGAAATTATAGCAAGGCAAAGAATGTTGGTGGTCCCGGGGAGAATGCCACCACCACACAAGTGAATTCTTCAGCTTTGCAGCAGCCACCTCAGATGGTAACCATTAAGAGAGTGATGGAAGCCAACGGAAGTGAACCCACCGTAACTATCGCACTGAAGGGGGCCACACCTGACAAAGACAAAGTCCTTTTCACCTTCGTCAATGGGCAAGGTAACTACAGTACAACAAATAAGTTTATTTTCATTTTTACAATCATAATATTTATTGTTAGTTTACGAATTGGCATTGTTGGTTATCAGTATCTACTAGAAAAATTCGTGATTTGTCGCCGTCAAAGAAGTTTGTCGTCAAGAAATGACGTCATCAAACAAATAACAATTCACAACCACATTTTTGTGACCCGCCTTCGTTACACTTTTTTTCCAAATGACCTTGATAGACGAAAGGAGCGCTTTGCTCTAGTCAAATAAAAATCTCCAAGTTTTTCTAGTAACATGTCAGAGCTCTGACAATTTAAACTTCTGCTGTACTAAAAAAGTTGTAAGTGGAACCACGGTTCCGGTGTATTTGACGTAAATGCGTCTATACGGAAAGGTAGTTTATATATTGGCTTTATTCTAAATATTTACTTTAAACATGCTTTACATTTGAGATAAGTTTGATTTAGATATTGATTATTTAACCTGAATTATTTACGCTTAAGATTGTTCTGTGAAAGCTGATATATGTTATAAAATTTGTACATTTTAGACTACTAGAGCAGGGCGCTCCATTCGGAGCTCCTAGGGTGGGTTGGTCAAGTTTGTAAAACGCAACCAACCTTGGTTAGTCCCGAAGGTAGTTAGTTTAGTGTCTCATTCAAGTGTTTTAACCCCTGAGTAAGAAACTGAACTAACTCCCCCAAATGGGGAGTTTAAACACTTGACCAAAACACAGATACAGTTTGTCAGTCACAGAAGGACAGTAAGGTGGGGGTGCAGACATTGTCCAACCAGAACTCAAAAAACAGTCAGTGTAGCACAAACAGCAGCTCAGCCAGTAATAAGAAGAAAAAGAATAAAGGAAATAACAATTGCCCTCAGCAGCAGAACAATGCATCTGTGGTAGCAGCAACTAAATCTCAACATTCCACTGCCAAAAATACTAGTATGCTGAAAGCTTCCTCAGGAACAAAGAATAGTTCTGCAGTAAATGTTGGGGGCAGGCAGCAAACATCGTCTGTTAATAATAAGTCCAGTATGTCACAGCAGCAGCAACCGTCTTCATCCGTTATTGTTAATCATGCAACAAATGATATACTGCCAAAAATACTAGTATGCTGAAAGTTTCCTCAGGAGTTCTTTTTTCTATTCTGTTTTATGTTACATAGTTCTGATGTTTTAGTTCTTTACGTCGCTGTTCACAGGCCATCTGTTCTTGATCATTCAACTTTATACGTCCAGCAACACCATTCCTAATCTTGGTCTGTTTTATTTTGCTCTTCCTTTCTTGTTTAATACGGTTTACTATGTTTATTGCTCCATCACTGAATCAGTTCACCGCAGCAACTGCCATTCAAATTAATAATGTCATAAACACAATCTCCTCTGCTGGGAAGGCGCCTGTCGTATCGTCTTCATCGGTTGCAGCTCAAAGGTTAAAATCTGAAGCCTCTTTACCAGCTTCTGGCTCGCGATCATTTAGCTTAGAAAACCTTAAGTTGCCACCTGGTATAACAATTACAAAGGTTGATGGTCCAACTGCTGCAGCTTTAAGGAAATCTCAGTCAAAACCTTCAGAAAGTTCAAAACCCACACCCTCTGTGGCATCCAGTCACAACTCAACCACAGTCATATCTGGTCCAACAGCTATGTCCAGTTCCAACAGGCTTGGGGGATTTGTGGGAGGAGGCAGCATATCTCAAGGGATTGGTGGCTCAAATGTCATTGTGGTCGACACTGGAAAAATGAAGGAAGAGCTCGAGGCAGTTACCATGAATGGCGTTGATTCCAGCCTCAGTAATGGTGGAAACAGTAAGAAAAAGAACAAGAAGAAAAATAAGAACCAAAATAATAATATAAGTTTGAATGTTAACGGTAATGGCCAGTTGCAGCGACAGCAGCAGATCGGAAATGGCATTGCTGCAAATCAGGTAAATGGAAAGCATCTAACTGGTGTTGCAGGGAAGAATCAGAATTTTCAGAATGGTACGAATGTACACGTTCAGAACTGTGTTTTAACAAAACAAAACATACGTCCGCAAACTCTTGCGATGAATGCCAGTCAGTTGGCTCAGCAACCAGCCATCATCAAAGTGAATGGTTCAGTGGTGACTATTAGAAATCCAGCTCTACAGCAAGCCATGGCCACTAGTGGTAGGTTCCCACAGCAAGGGAATGGACAGGCAGAGATTCTTGTTAATGGTGAAGTGCCTACCAGCAAAGCAGGAAACAAACCTGGCAAAAAGCCTGTTAATTCACCTATCGCAAATGGCGTTATGGGGGTGAAAGGAAAAGAAAATGGGTCAGTGCCACCACGATTTGCAAATCCTGACAATATGATGTTGCGGAATAGGTTGGCCCCACAAATTGAATACAGTGGATTGAATAGCATACCAGGGCTTCAAATCAGTAAGGTGAGTTCACCAGTTGGTAGAGTAGAGGAGAATGGGATAGCTGTCCGAGGATCTTCAAATATGCTGCCACCTAGGATGCGAATTCAGCAGCAGCGGTCACCGCCATCTCAGATGACAGAAATTAGAAAGGTGAACCACAATCATATTAGTGCTCGACAGGATGGATCACTGCCGCAGCATGCCTCGTCGGCGAGGTCAGCCATGCGTGAAGCCATGGCTGCTTCAATGGCAGCTGCCAATGATGCAAAGAAGAAAAAGAAGAAGAAGAAGGGAGCCGGTGGCCAAGGCCATTCAGATGACTGGAATCTTGTTGGTAAGTTTTTGTCACTTGGACGCTGAATTTATTGTTTAACAGTCAAAGGATTTATTTGGTTTTGATTGTAATCTTTGCGTGATTCCAAGTCATTTCAGAAGTTCTGGTAGTTAGTGTAAACATAATTAGATTCCTGTCTTTGCTGTTGATTATCTTATATTAAGGCATCATCCTTCATGTTCCATTGTGAACGGTATTCAGCGTACTGATCTGCAGTATTTTTTTTAAGTTTCTATGAAACATTTGCACAAGTTTTGAAACAAGACCCTGAATTCGGAGATCTCTGTTATATAAAACCCATTTTAACCTGTATTACTGAGTTTTTGGGCTTTATCCATTGTGTGGTGTTCTAGGAACTTGTTTCAAAAACTGGATTTGTTTTTGTCCTCGGGCATAGGGAAGAGGGCATCTGCTCAGTTGGGACTGTTTGAAAAAGCTAACCTCAATCACTGTGGTTATATTTGATTGGGCACAGGCCTCAGGGTAACATTAACAATACATAATCATGGGTGGAGTGAATGGGAAAGAAATTCTGGAGATGGGAGACAGATTAAAGATAAAGGTTAGGAGGGGAGGAGCATGATGATAGGATGGACAAATGAAAGGAAATTGGTAGAAAGGGGAGAGGGGGGAAAGAAGATTATATAAAGTAAGTTTCTCTGTTAATATTACTGTACCTTTATAATATTTTTGCTATGGTGTTTTATTACTTTAATAAACACAAGGATTCTCTAATTCTGAGGTGCAGAATCCTTGAGAAACTAGTATTGTATTTTACCTACACAGCGAATAATATTTTGAAGTGCAGAGATTTTTTTAATTGGCAGTAAACAAAGCATTTGCTAAAAGTTGTTAAAAACTAGCATAATTACGTTCTTTATGCATCATATTCAATTTAAATTAGTCGCGTTTGAAAAGATTATAGTTCAATCTTCATTTAATGTGTTTTACTTAAATTTGTTATATTTAATATTCTCTCTTCTGAATTTCAGAGAGCGTGTTTGCACCGAAGGATATTGATCTTGAAAATGGTGATATTGATGATGATGAACGTGAATTAGAAGCATTCAAACGATTTTGTTTCAATTCTGTTCCACCAAAACGCAAGGAGAAAGTGCATCTGAATATCAAAGATATTGTTCTGAAGAAAAAGTCATCTGCTATTGGATGCAGCTAAACATTGCACAATTACTTGGGTGTAGTGAAAACATTTTGAAAGACAGAATTGCCTTGATCTGAAGTGACTTATTATCGGAGAGAAAGTTGTTGGTTCTAGTAATTAAAAAGGAAGTTGTTTTATTTATACCCTGTGATCCATCATATTTCTTGGTGTTTGTAATTTTTTAAATATTCAGATTACAGCATTTTGTGGCCAGAAGTAATTTGCAAGAATGTGAAGGCCCGACTTAATATCGAATTCTGTATGGCATTGATTGAAGTGATGCTGAGTCTACAATTGATGCAGAGGAAATGAATTTTGAGTTATTCTCAGCTTTTCACTGTGGAGTGTTGTACGTAGGACGCTCAGTGTAGGATTCGGCATCCGAGATCGTGACATGATCCGAGAGCTTCACGCATGCACATGGCTGCCAATAAAAATAATATTGAATTTGAATATATGTGTTTCTTTAAACAATCAGTTTTCATTTGAAATAAACTTTCATCTTGAAAGATGTGTTACTTTGGTAACAAAATGTATTTTGCTAATGTCTGCACAACAGTGCTTCCTTGAGCAGGTTAATTTGCATTTTGCTGATTGGAATGCCGTAGTGGATGATTGTTCGATTAAAGTTTTCAATACTTTTTATTGTGTGCGATTATTTACCTTGTAGATAAGGCACTTGTGGTTTCTGTATGATTTGAACAAAGACAGATGTCAGTTTGGGTAACTTTGTATAGGTTGCGTAGTTTACAGGAAACACGCGCACGCACATATATGATTTAAATTAATGCGTACAGGTAGTTCTTACATGCTGAAGGGAAATGGAGTTCCATGTGTTATTACTCCAGTTAAGACATGTTTTCAGTCAAGTCATGGCAGTCAGGATTTTATACATGAAAACTGTACATTTTAAGAGTGGTGACTATTTTTATAGTACCATTACATTCTCATTGCTGCTCTTGGTGTTGATTTTAGTAGCGCATCATCGTGTGCAAGCCTGGCACCGAGGCGTCAGTATTGTAAAGTGCTGAGAAGTAGCACATAACCTCTTCACAGTCCCAAGACTGACAAACTAACAAAATGTTGGGTCAAAAGATGATCCCAATTTTTTTACATGTGAGGCTCGGAAGAAGAGCCAACATCTCCAGTGGTCTGTGGTATTGTATTTGTTATACAAGACTTATTTAGTCATTAGAATTGGTAAGATTAAAATTTACCAACATAGACAGGAGCTCTCTTTTCTTTTGTTGTACAGCACCATCCTTTTGAGTCAAAAAAAAGTGGAAGTTCATAAGAATGTACGTTTTCACGACCATTCCACTTTTCTTGATTGCTCCTTCCTGAACACTGCTTGCATTGTATGGGTTGCAGAGTCCCATATGCTAAATATAAGAACTATTCCCTTCATTTCAACCCTTTGGAATAATGAGAACATCTGTTTGTACACATTGGTGATTGTGTTTACATCATTCACGGGATTCATTTTGCCATGTCTGAGCTAAGCATAAAAACATCTTTAAAAGGTAATGTATTTAATGGAATCATAACTGTAAAGAAAGACCATTTGCCCTTGTGCTTCAAAACACTTTAGGATCAAGTACCAGCAGATAAATATGTCACTCATTAATTGCCAACAAGAAAAATGGCAGATTACTCATACAGAATTGTTATATTGATCTCATGGTATGTCTATTGTCTTGGACTGGGATGGCTTGTTTGAATTCCACATTCGGTATTGTGTGGTTAGAAATTTTACAATGATCTTATGCCTCATTCAAGGAGTCCTACATAAAATCTAATTTAATTAAAAGGAGAAATGTCCATAGTGCCAGTTAACTACAGTAATTAGTTAATTGGCAGTATGAACATTTCAGTGTGCAATGCAAGAAGAACTACAGTAACTGTTCTTAAAGCACTAGAGAGAGATTTCTCAACAAGACGTGTGCATCTACATGATGCATCGCCGAGTAGAAGTCCAGGTAGACCGTCATAGATCATGTTTCATGGGCAGCACGAAAAGTTTGGCTGCTGCTGTTAAAATATTACTAAAATGAAGGGAAAAGCGTCTAAAAGAATAAAATATGGACGGAAAAATTGTAGACTAAGAAAAGGAGGAGAGTTTATGGAAAATTATAATGAGAATTGAGGACTGAACATGAAATATTTGACAAAAACTTTTACTTTATCCCATTTATTTTGGTTCTTACCTTGCTTCTGGCATTTTATTCTTGTTTGTGTAGAAGGATTTTTATTTCTGTTACCGAGAAGCAAATCAAGCTACCGCAAGTAATTGAAATTTATGAGCAGACTACTAAAACTAGCCAGGGTAGTGAACTTTTAAGTGTTTAATCAAATAGAGCTAGAGACGGCCACTAGAGTGCTCTGCGAACTGTTTACACTGTCAACTAATGTAGAGCGGTACAGACGGTACTAGGTTTTAGATTACGTCTAGCCCATATGTGTGGCGGCCAAGGACGATAGAGTTGGTAAGAGCTCTCTCATTGATATGTGCATTACTAGATTGATTCTGTGAGATTTGACATTACCTTAGCTAAAAACATTCACAGCAAACACCACCATTAGAGTAGTAAAATTTAAGACGTTACGCTGGTCTGCCTATACATGTCGTTAGGATAAGGTAGACAAGGAATACTTTCAGAATTTTGATGGGAAGCCCTGGAACCATCGCACGAAGTAGGTCTGCTTCATTTTATTGTCTTTCCGGTAGAGTTAAATTGTGCTGAAAAGGCAGTGTAATAGTAATTTGCAAGGGAATTAGTGGCTTAAACTGAAGCAACATTTTAATTCTGTATGAAAATACATTTCCCGAGACAAATCTGTTCTGCTGTTTAATTAAACTTAAAGCTCGTCTTCTTTTCCTCAGCTTGCTGCCTTGTCTACTCGGTATTCTAGGCTTTGCCCTCTGCTATGACCGAACGGATCTGTCGGGAATATCTTATTGTAACAAAAGTTGACAGACTAGAAACGGTAGCTCAAAGTCTCCGGTTTAATTAAAGGTCTGCACAATTTTGCTAAGTAACTAACTGCACGGGATAATGTTCTGCTTAAGAAACAATCGCTGTTTTGTCGAAGCCGAGAATTCATTACAGTATTCATGAGAACCAACCGAATCCACCCCACATACCTGTTAATTAAGACTGTTTATAATATTATCCCCATACGCGTCTAGGGCTCCTTTGGATTTATAAATTTCCATCCACAGATAAAAAGTTAATACACCGTACACAAATACATTATTGCAAGACGAAACGAAGATTGAGTATATCTTAAAGGTTTTCAATTCAATTCAATTAATTTATTTACGTGTTTGCCAACAGCAAGACACCAATAACAGGCAAACACTGATAAATATACAATAATAATGAAATAATAATGAAAAATATTACTAAAAGAGATTAATTAAACTTGTACATGTACAGTATTAAACATAACAGCCAATTACAGGGAAGCCAGAAAAAGAAACAAATTTATACACAAATAAAAATAAATGAAGAAATATAAATAAAAACAAATAATCCACCTAGGGAGCACTGATATAATTGTAGAACGTTAAGAAATACTTTTGGCCGTTATTCGTGAAATTGCCACACTTGTGAAAGCCTTGTCGTTTAACAGACGTAGAAAGCTGTACTTTAATGGGATCTTTGCTGTTTTGAATAACTTGTCATTTTTTACGTTTCTTTATTGCAGATTCAAATCTGTTATCAATTGCTAATCACACTTTCAGATGTCATAATGCACGGACTCGAAAATAATTTATTCGGTGTTGTAAATGGACATTTAATTTGAGTGTTATACAGCCTGAAACAAGGGACACTAACCAGAATTAACATCTCTGGACACCCAACGCTATCAGTTACATCGAAATATTCTCTATAATTCGGAGATGAAACGCGGATAGACAGAGTTCACTTTTACTATGTGTTCATTTCGTGTATTCGGTGAATGAAAAAATTTGTGTCTGGTGAGGTAAATGTTTCATATGATCGGCCTACATTCCTTCCTATGACGTATTATTTTTGGAACAGCGATAAATGTTATCTTTCTAGTACATGAATCAGCCAATAGTTATATAGAGGCTTACTGTATCAATGTTTTTTGAGTAAACACCTCTGTCAGAAATATGGACGTGATTTGATTAACACTGCAATAAAGCAAGGTAAACACGCCCACCCATTAATATTAAATGCTTTAGTTTACAGTTTAAATGGTTTTAAATGCTGTGTTGAACTTGTCAGAATGAAGTGGTTAGATCGAAGAAAACCACAGGAGAATCAGATATTCGAAATAGCCTAAGTTTTTGTGTGCTCTAGTCAATTAAAATTCTTTCTACCCTTCAAGTTGCTTATCTACGCATTTTTGAAGGTGTTAACATGGGAATTGAAGTAAAAAACATTTTATATTTTGAGCATATTGCTTTACGCTTTGAAGCTAGTTTCAAACGTTTGCGTTTAAGTGAAGAAATATTCGTAGGGAAATGCATCAGTGTTTATCAGTATCAGAAGGAAAGAGACCTGGATGTAGGTGGGAGGATAATATTAAAATGGATCAAAAAGAAATAGGATAGGGTGGTACGGACTGGATTCATCTGACCCAGGATAGGCACCACACGGTAATGAACCTTTGGGTTTCATAAAAGTTGGGAATGTCGTGGGTGGCTGAGTGACTGTTGACCTCTCAGGAAGGACTCGGCACCACGGAGAAAGTAATTAATATGGAGTAAATAATTAAGTGTTTATCAGCTGATTTAAATAGTATTTTTCTTGCATAAGTCTTATAGTGTCGATAAATTACTCATGAAATTCAGCCGTAAATAGAATTTTGATATTCTTTTCTTAGGTGCGTAAAAATATTGTTATTATTTTGATCTGTCTGTCCACCTGTAACAAATCAAAAATAGCCAAACAAATATTCACGAAATTTGGTATTGGAGACTTATTAAAATTTGTATACGCTTTTAAGTTTTGTCAAGAATAATTGACACTTAATATGAGTACCTACGTGCGTCTTTTCTTTTTTTTCCCCGGAAGCGACTAGTTAGAAAATAGCTCCTGGGGAGTTCCCGGCCATTCACAAAAGTGATGGTTAAATTCTGGTGAACGCATCGTCATTGTTTTGTTACTTGTTTTTTTAAACACTGGCAAATCTTTTAAGAACAATTTTCCCCAGAATTCTTCCGAAACTTTTCTTATTTACAACCATAGGAATTTGGAAATCAGAAGGGAAGTTGCTTCAGCTGTTTCCAGCAGAACTGTACGCAGTGGAAAGAAATCGTTTTCATTGCGAGCCGAAGGGGGGAGGGGGGGCGCCTAGAGACAGCGAAAGTGAAGTTGACAGTGGAGTCTGTAGAGTAACGCGTGGCGTTTTAGGAGATGGTCGGAGATAATGAAGGGGAAGAAATGGAGCCAATAAAACAGACAAGGGGAGAATTTCTGTAGACAAACAAATGTGGGGTCCGAGGGCAGAAAAAAAAACATCATCAAGAGACGGAATGGAGGGGCTAAATTGGAGCCAGTTGCTCCAAGTTTTCGTTTGCAGTTTCGGAATAACATTTTAGCACTGCAAATTGTTTGTTATTGTTTTTACAAGTTCGCTGCGTTTTGTTATATTCTTTGTTGTACTTTCGTGAGCGAGACATTTTTTCACTGTATGAGCTATGTGACTGTCTTCTGTCATTTAGTGGATTCGATAAGTTATGTTAACAAGCGACAGTAAATAATTTAAAATAATCTGAAATATGACACGTCACAGTCTAGAATTATGGAGTAATTTTATGTTGTAGACAAAATCAGCATTTACGTGAATTAGCTTCTTGTTTATCATACAGGGTTTTGGTGGGCAAACCAGAAGGGAAAAGACCACTGGGTAGACCTAGATGTGTGTGGGAGGTTACTATTAAAACGGATCTTCGACGAATAGAATGGTGTGGTAAGGAATGAATTCATCTGGCAGCTGTGGGTCCATGGTTCGATTACCAACAACAGCAGCACCCGAGAGTAAAACTGACCACTCACCTCTATTTAGTGCTGAGGTTAATAATGCTTGGAGCTGTACTTCCATTTCTCCATACATCTTCAGAGACAACTTTACCTTTACTATGGACTATTAAAAATATGTTTAAAACGTTTACGAATGAAAATATTCATACATCCTAGTAGACATGCCTAGCCCATATTTTGGATAGGTTCACGGTGAAACAACGTGGATTACCGAGTTATCTGCTAGTAAGCAAACATTTTGGACGTTGAACGTCATAATTAGCTGTAGTTCGCGTAGTTTGTTTGGAAGTTTGTATTTTTATAAAAATCTAAATTGTTTATTAATAAAACAAATCACGAGGAATCATTTGAGTTAATTAAATGAAATCATTATGAACCAAGCTTCTGTTCTGCTTTGTCTATACGTGAGTATCTATAGTTCCGATGTGCAATGTTTACACTTGAACCTGAGATTCTGCTGAGCTGAGGTGATTCATACTGGTGTCTTGGATACAATAAATAGTTGTCAACATGGCGGGACAACAGTACGTCAGCGTTATTTTGTTGCACGCTTCAGTGCTGTACATTTAAGGCTATTTCACAGCAAACCAATTCTCCACATCTGATTTCTTCTTTGTTTGGAAGCACATCTTCTGGGGAAAGGATAAAAGAACCTCCAGTACTCTAGTAAAATACATGCGATTAAATGCATTCCATCTCGTTCACTTCCCTTATCGAATTGCCCTTCTGCTCGAGGGAGCTTTTTGAGTATTTGTAATGAAAATGTTCCATCTCCGCTGCCAGTGGATCGGGAGTAAAGTAACTGCTGTTAAGAGCTACAAGTGTTTTTCGAATTTTATTTATGGTTAAATTATTTTTACTTACGCCCAAATCTCTAGTGACATACTAACCTATTTGTGCTTATATGTCAATTAAAGTAATATTAAAGTAACAAATAAATTTAACACAAAGCAAATCATGGGACAGATTAGCTCAGTTTTTTACGAGTGTTAGAGGCACGCACTCCGATTATCGGCGAGAACACCGACTGCTCTGACAGTTTTCATGGTTGTCTTCGTCACCGTAAGACCTTTCTTGCACTAATGTGAGGACAAGCTGGTGGCGGTGAGTGATGCCCTGAAGATGGAGGTAGCAAGGACCTCTAAAACATTGGTAAACTTAGGCTACACGGCATTAAAACCTGGAATACAGCCACCTTTCATGATGGTTTTCGCGATTTTTTATTCGCTCTGTATGTGAAACAAGTTTTAATTTAATTCATATAAAGCCCTTTTACTCTAAACTCTGTACTCCAAGATCATTATCGTAAACTACAAGTTTTATTGTGCTGGGGGACTTACTCCCATTTTCACCCCTTGTGTAGGGTTGTTTCGCTGGTTATGGATATATATATCTTACAAGGGTACGGGCAGGCGGCTGTGTGTCGGGATGATTGTGGGTAGAAATGACAATGCAAAAGTTTTTGAATGATTAATTCATTACAACTTCACGCAGTTTTGTTACAACCCCAAAGCATCCATTGCAGACACGTAACTGGTAAGTTACATTCCAGCTAAAATTTCTCTGTTTACTTTTTCATTTACGTCGCAGAATATCTTCAACATTCTGAGTGTAGCCCTTATAAAAAAATATTACGTTGGTATGTCCATTGAACTTTATTCTACAGCGATTCTGTTATTCTTGCAAGGGAATGAAACTGACATAAAGTGGCTGATGTACTGATCCCTTACGTATGGATGATGTTTGATGAACTGAAATTAAATATGCAGGACATGGTCGTGGCCTAAGATATTATTCCGTGACATCGTTTATCCTGTATTCGAACCATCTCATCACCGTTAAAACTGAACTTGTTCATTCGCTAAAATCTGATTGTATGCTTTTCTCAAGAAGCCTAAATGGGGGAAGACAACCAAGGAACAGAACACACGGACTACTCCCCCCGTACGTTTTCCATTTTCCCTTGCCATCATGCTATGAAATAACTCTGATATATTTTGAGTCCAATATAACTGGTTGCACAAAAAACTTACATACACTTTCGAATATGCTCTGTCGGTGTGAGCGATATTCTTTTGTTCCGTATCCGTTACTGATGCTATTTAGTGGTGATAAGTAATAGGGTGCTCACAAATAATGGTTATAAATGAGCAAGAGAGGTATAGGTATTAGTCTGTTTGAGGGTACTAAGAAAAATCACGATAATATTAGGATAGTGCTATACGAAAGCGGAACATATGTTACGGCTGTGCTAACCGGCTGGATAAATATCTCAGTCGAGTTTCTACAGGCAACAGGCCCATAGTATCAATTATCATTCAGAGTCCTCCAACAGTGGGAACATTTTTTATAAGAGACAATGTTTTCAGGACAGTATTTAGCATGACGTCACGGTTTCGAGGTCGAGTCAGTTTTCCGCTTAGACAGACAGTACAGCGTTACTACGGTGCGAGATCTGAGCTGTCTTCACTCGCCTGGGCTCCGCTGTTCTTGCTGCAACGATGAACAATTTCGTTGTGACCTTGAGAATCATGTAGTTTGGTGACGGCTACTATAGAATCAAATGAATGTAAGAAATATATTATCTTCAGCATCGACAGCTAATGCCCCTTGTTGGGGTTCTAAATTGGCGTTCCTTTATGTTTGCTCCACAAAGCTTGTAGACGTGTATACAAAATATAGAACGAAATTTGAATCTGAACTGCGTGCGAGGGAACAGACAGTAGATGACAGCATAAATCCCTCTTCCTTGTCTCAAACTTGTATGCACGCCAGCACGGCTTTCCTTGTCAGAGCTGCTTACACACCTTTTAACCCGGACTGACGTGGGCAAAGAAATATTAGACCAAACCGCGTGGGTTTTCCATCATCGGGGCTCGTTTTGTTTTTATCCCATGTCGTGTGATACAAAATAAAAACTTACACTGTCACTCGGTTGTTAGACTGCTGAACATTTGTTTCTTTCAAATGAGTTGTATTCAGCAGGTACTCTGTTCAAATCTCCGCTCAGTCAATCATACCAAATATCGTGATAGATTTGTCTTGTTTTCCCACTTTTACAATTCAGAAACACTTGCCTATTTAAATTCATGTTCGCAACGTTTCTTCCTTGCAGCTGAAACGTCATTATAAACTGTAACCTTAGATTCAGTCAATCTCTTTGACTCTGTTCGTTGAGCGTCGACCTTCTATTATCTTCGAGATTTCGTGTTCGATAGTTGGCCTTGCGGTCAGAGAGTCTGAAATTTATATGGAGGCAATGCGAAATCTGTGTTCAACTTCT